GGGGTGATATTTCATGCAAGTCACACATTTCAGCTTTCTTTTTATTTTTTTCTGTAATTTTTACAATATGAATTATTCCTTTCCCACTGCCCCCCCCCACCCCCCCAGTATCAGTGACTTTTCCCTTTGCTGTGTTACCAACAGTCCTGYCTTTTGAACTGTGGCGAACAAGATATCATTTAACAGAAACTGAGACATCAGTGAGCATAAAAACACTGAGTGGTCGACATTTTTTTGTYCAACAGATTAGCAGAAAAGAGCGTTGTCCATTTGGCTATGGCTGCTGTCCTGAAAGCTCTGTGGGCTAAGCAAGAGGGAAAGAGGACCTCAATATAAGAATGTCCATTAACTCAGAAAGCTTCCCTTCTCCTGTTTGCCCTTATTTGCATGTGGTCTTTATTTTGAAGAAATTTATAYATATGTTTAGCTTTAAAATATCAATTAAAGTACCAGCATCGCTGAGTTCTTGAGACTGTCAATGCCTTATTTTTTCAGGATGAGAAACTGTAGCCACTGCACAGTGCTTAGTATTGGCATTGGTGAGAGCATTACAGAGTAATTTTGCAGAACTCTGGCATTTCTGAAAGAATATATTTTTTCCTAGTCCTGTTTCTTTGTATACCCTTTTCTTGATTTCATCTTTCCTACATATTTTAATCTGAGATTTTGACCTTTCAGCTGCTTCCCGACTGAATATGCTGTTGATCTGGGAAGCAAATCTTGCATGCTTGGCATTTTACTATTAAAATAGCCTTTTTAGGCAGTGATGTGAGGAGACATAAAGATGGCCTGGTTGGAAAGGAAAATTAGTGAACAAAAGATATTGTCTGCTCTATAAAACTGACAGAGAAAGAAACTGTGAGCCTGGGGACCAGACCTTTRAACTACTGAAAAACATCCTTGAAAMGTGCAGCTGGCCTCTTTGAAGTGTACCCAAGGTACCTAGAAACCAGAAACATCCACTGATACCACTGATAAGCACAAAACAAGGAGACCATAACAGCAATTTGTCATGTGAAGCTGGAAAACAGTCTGAAAAAATAAAATAACTCTGATGGAACAGAAAACAGCATCCCCAAYTGGCTGTGAAAAAGAAAAATTAAACCACATCTATTAGCTGCTCATGCTCGACTCCCTCTTATGACTGTGTGATATAAAAATGACTTAATGTTTATCCARAAATAAGCCTTAGAACTTTTTGGTTGAATCCCACACAACCTTTCTATGAGCATTTGGGCTCTCCTCAGAAACACCTGGCTAAAAAAATTCTGTTATGTGGATCATTTTGGAAATGGGRCTCTGGGTCTTACCATCTGGGTGTGTCCTCCTCTCTTTTAGGAAGGGTTGTTTCCCCAGGTTGTTCCCACCTTTTGAGGTGGTTTRGTTGCTTTTGAAATCTATCTAATTCACTTCCTATCAATAGCATAAATATCAATAAAAATAATCATAAAAATATCTGCTGTTATATCACTGATCAGTTTGCTTAACTCATGATAAACTGTAGTTATCTAAAACAGTATTGTTGACTGCTTGGTTGCTGCTGTCGTTGGTTGTACCACAGTATTGATTGATGTTATTATTGACTGACACCACGCTGTTGTTTGATAATATATATAATTGACTGCAGATAGTAATTTGTAATAACTTGATATATATTCATTCATATTCATTTTATTTACCATAGATATGTTTTCTAGTGGCAATTTTTGTGGYATTTRTGGTAATMTSTAATAAAGGAAAGAAATTTAGAGGGSAAAGCTTTCATGTCCTTGTGTATTACAGATTTCCACAAACACACAGTCTTATCTCTCCACACCTTTTTTAATAATCACTCTACCAATACTGCTTCCATAAKGAAACCAAGTTAAAAAGGATTCTCAATCCTTAATGATTTTCARGAGAAAGTGTCAAATGTTCTTGTTTGGTGTTGAGAACAACTTTGCTTTGGTGTCAGTAATTAATTTTGCATGCCAAAGGTAAATATTATTTGCACTTTGTGAGATTTCATCATAAAGAAAAAAACATCTGTGTGTTACAGCGACATTGTGGTGTGTTATTTAATTTTTTTTGTTTTCTAGTTTATGTGAAAGTTACAAGTTGACATGGTCAGAAAGTCTAAAGGCAACTGGGCCCTATTAGAAGAGCACATGTTTTGGTTGGTGTCTAAATTAAAATAGTCTTGCAACTAATTTCAGACAGAAGCTGTGTCCCTGGTGGGGAGTGTTACTTTTCTCCCATCACACCCTCTTCACATGTCTGTTCTCAAGCAGAGATGCAAACTAGCCCCTCTCCTGGGGAAGCTGCACAGCTTGTCTTTGTCCAGCTCCAGCRTCACAGCTGGCAGTGGGGACTGATGTCTACAGCTATAGGAAGCTGTGCACTTAAAGACAGTGCTTTAATCTGTGGGTCTTTGTTTAGGATTTGGACAAGAAGAGTTGTTCTTCTTTAAGTCTGGATAATTGGGAATTTGTTCTAGTTTTTTTAATGGTTGGGGGCTTTTTCACAAAAACAACTCCTCRCTGAAAACTAAAAACTTGATAATTGAATTGCCAGTGTCAACATTGTTTGCTAGTAAATGCCTKGGCTTCATGTGTTGATCTGCTTGCTGAAGTGATCAGTCATTTTTGGGAGGAATTCCCTTCAGTATTAAGACCTAAAACATCCTGTTCTAAAATAACTTGATTTTCCCTTTTCTGAGTACAGGAGGTATGAGAACAGGGGTGATTCTCTGTTTTAATTTGACAGCTAAAATTGTGTGATTTGGCTTTCCTGTTTAATCTTTTACTCCTGCTTGGATAGAGTTTAAAAAGAAAGTAAAAAGGGCTTATTGTCAACTCCTCACAGCCATGAAATTAGGCAAACTTACATTTGGCAGTGCAACACAAGATGATGGGAAGGGGGGTGTGAAGGTTTAGAATATCTGCTGCTTCAACTCCCTGCATGCTTCAAAAAAWGTGCAGAAAGATTGACAGCCATTCCTGAACTGACTAATGTTACTTAATCTTTTTTTCATCATATTGTTTTGTTATGATATTGGTTTTTTTTTATTTTATTTTATAGGTCATGCTTGAAGCAGGCTGCTTCATGAAATACAGATATTTTATTGGTGTGCTAGCAGAAGAGGAAGCTTATGGTAAATTCTCTTTCCTTCAAAGCTGGAATTTTTGTACCCTCCATTTTCCTAATCCTGAAGTTGCCTCATCAGTTTTGATGGGAGTAACTCTGTCAGGAACACACCATCAGCCTGTGAGACTGACAAGCTGGAGGAAACTGTAACAAGAAATCTGGAGTGTGAGGAGAATTTGATCCAGTTCAGTGTAATTTGATATTTATTCTTGTTCCCCTACAGAAATACTCCAAAATTATCTGCTTGGGAAAAAAGAAATATGTGAGCTTACATCTGTACCTGATGGAAACCATTACTTTGCATCTCTTAGAGAGTAGGAAGGGGACTCTGTGAAATGAAGCCTATTGTTTSCTGGCATCTTTTTGTGTGTCCCCGAAGTGCAGTGTCAAACATTAGGTTTGTGTCACATTGGTGACTTTTTGCCCTGTAGCTCTTTGCATTGGGTTAGCAAGGAGATTATGGTGTTCTCTGCTTCTTCCAAGGATTTATCTGCTTTGCAGATCTCWTGCAATGAAATAGCTGGGGAGAAAAGGGAAGGGCTTGTTTGGCAAAATTGGTCYATTTAATTAAAATTATGGCTTTCGGGGAAAAGAATAAAAGAAGTCAAAACAACTCCAATCCTTCAGTTTTCCCAAAGAGCATTCTTTGTTACACTATTTAATGAAATAATGCATTGTTGACTGAAATACAGCCTGACTTGTAATCATTCTAATCTGCTTCAGAACAGAAAATGTTAAAGTATGGATATCTGGCTTATACAGGATCCTGTTCCTGGCTGAGCTACTCAGAGCAGCAGTTAAAACACGTTTGAATGATYGATTTTATAGCAGTAAGATTTTAAATGGGATGTGGAGTGGGAAATGGTAACTGATGATGATMAATTCTCACTTCTTGCTCCTAAACACTTAAAAGTTTTGTTGGACTGACTGAAAATGTATCATTGCAGGTCCATTTGGGGAGATAAAAAGGTGGGCCTAATACCATTTCAGTGATTTTCAAARTAAGGCAGAGTGTTACACTCAGTTTGTGATTAAGGATATACCCCAAAAATAAGATAGAAATGGATGCCTCTTTGTTGGCATATTGTGGGTAACAGGGAGTTTGCTTGGGCACAGCAGTGTTGGTTCARGCAAGGRGCTTATGCACATAGGGATTCTCAGRGARTRATATGAATTAATCAAAAGCATGATCATTAAGAGTGGTRATGAAAATACATAAAATCTGTGCTTGGATAGCTATGTTGAGAAGCACAGTACCCTTAACTTTTGGTGAAACACGATACCCTTAGCACGTGTTAGTTTCATGGATGAGAAATGGGGATGTGTTCTTGAGAGTCAACACAAACCTCAAAATTTGATAAATGCTTGTTTATTCTAGAATTTCTTGTTGCCATCACTTTGAGGGATCTCTGAAACTGTCAGCTGGCTTCCTTCATAAAGCAGCATCCCTATTGCCAGAGAGAGCTGAATGTGCTTCATTTTTTGTCTCAGTTTATTGGTGTCAAATAAAGTTAATAAAGCTGGGATTTAYCTTTTGGAAACTATACACCTTGGTTTACCTAGAAAAAATATTGCCAAGTTGTACGGAAGTTTCTGGATTAGAAAAATTTATTATTTGTTACAGTTAGCTGGGTCTGAGGAGTTTGGTTCGCTGCATGTTACTGATATATCTGATCATGTTTTCTGATGGTTTCTTCTAGCTACTTGAAAGGAAAAAATAAAAAGCTTATTTTAACTATGTGTAAACTAATATTATTCTAGATGCTGTGTGGTGAAGTTAYTTGGAGATGTATAATTAATTGATGTAACTTTGCTTACAATTGCATACCAAGGCCTTAAGAGAAGGCCAGGTAATGCCTAATAAAAACTTGTATTGAGTGCTACTCTTCTATATTTTATGTCTTGAACAGACAATCTGGGCCCAGTCCAACTCTTGCAGGTCTATGATATGGGCAGTSATGACTTTGCCTCTGTATCTCTCCCAGACGTTTCCCCCTTCTACTACTGCATAGTGCTGCATTGCAGGAAAACAGGAATGGTGTGGGAAAGCTGAGGGCTGATCAGTGAAGATAAACGWGTTTCCGTTGATTTATGAAACGCCATCGCTGTTTTATTTTCAGAGTAGGATGAAGCTTACTCACAAGGGAGGAGAAGTAACAAGAAAGTTCCTTCTGTAAGACAGTGATGCTAAAATTGTAAATCCTAGTTTATGGATTCGAGTTTATGGCCCCATCAATAATTTAGAAGTGATCTATTTCATGTTTCAAGTATGCATACAGGTTCAAGGTAAAGACRGGTGCTTATTTACAGGATGATATTTGCAGATTGAGGTTTATACAAGAAATTATTGGCCCGCACAAAATAACTGTGAATGTATTTTTTTTCTGCTGCAGTACTCTACTTTCTATTTCAAACCATTAGATTAAATATCTCTCATATGCATTTATTGACAAATATTGGTTTGTTCCTTCTTTAAATCCTGGATAATGAAGGCAACAAATGTTGATCTATTTCAACCAAGAGCAGTATTGCATATGACTAAAGCAGATGTATTACTAAGAATTTTATCCTGTATTTCTGTGCCAGAAATTCAAGTCTGCAGGGGAACCCCACTACTAGGATTTTCTTCTAGAAGATTTAAAGTGCCTTTTATATCCAGGGAGAAAAGCCTGTTAATGTTTTTTAATGGATATTTGGCCAAAAATAAGCTGGAAAAGGAGTTATTCAAACGAAAATATTTGAATGAAAATGAATAAGTGGAWGGAAGTCACTCCTTTTTATTTTGAAATGTTGCTCTTTTTATTGCTATGGGTCAGAGTCTTTGCCCCATATGTTCACTGACATATCACAGCTGCTGACCTACTCTGGGTGCTGCAGGGCAGCACAAAGCTTTCCTGGGATGCCATATATCATGGAATGCYGAACCAGAAACTCTGTGAATACAGGATGGCAAGGACTTGAAGAGCCTGCAGAGGAATTATGATGTAATTTTCAGATGATTCATTTTTTATAGAAAGAAAAATTCTCCCTTGTGTGGGAGTGAAATGCTGCTTCAAAAACTCATTTAAACTACTGCAATTCTTTTTTTGTCAAGAAGATTTTCTGCTGAAAATTTCAGGCAGCCACATCCGTGTTTTAGGGTGCTTTACTCAAGTATGTGCTGCCAAGATATATTCATTCCCACAAAAGACTCTGCTCTACTTCCTGCAGGTCCTGATCTGCTTGGTTTGAACCTAGTCTGGTTATTGACAGTCATTCTAACTGCATAAGTGCAGCCAAAAGTACAATACAGACAGAACAGCAATTCCAACTTTTCATTTCCTTTCTATTTCCTGAATTTCTACCACTTCATAAAAAATTTGCAGTTTGACAGAAAAAAAAATTCACTAAAAACCTTCACTGTATTTGATTCTTATTTCTCTTATCCCAGATGTTGAATGCAAAGCAAAAATGGGAAATAAAGGAAGTAATACAGTGGGTCAGTAAACCAGCTGAGTTTAAACCCTTATGGATTAAGGATTCAACTTTTCCAGATGAGGATATGCATATCCAGGTGGGACATGCAATTGTTTCAAAGCTTGGAGGTTTCATATTTTATTTCAATAATACTACAGTGACTCCAGTCAGTACTGATGTARTGCTGATACTGTTCCTTCACATATTCAGAGTTCAATTTGAGCTAGTGATTCAGAATACCATTAAATGTATTTGCTACAGGATCTTGATATAAATTCTGCACTTGTATATTCCCTTAAGTTTAAATAAATAGTTTCTTTCTTAAAAAAATACGTAAAAGGACTGTAATGTTTGCATAAGGAAGGCAGCCAACATTTAGTATAAAGTGGGAATGGACTTTTTTTTTTAAATGTGTGGTTTCCAGTGAAATTAGAAGTTTGGTTCAGAATTTTGCTCCCAACATGCTACATTTAGCAGCACTGTTAAAACCCCAGATGTACAGTATGTGCATTTCTTTACTGCTCCACTCACCCTGTTATTTTTTTCTTTACATAGAAAAAAAGAAGTTTTATAACATGTGTTACATTTTCTATAAAATAAGTAGAAAACAGTGTGCTGAAACTACTATTTTTCTATCCTTTGTGCTACTGAGTAACTCCACTGGGAATTCAAAAACCAGAAGCAAGTCTTGAATGTTTGTTATTTCTTTACAGGCCTTAACAGTGCTAGGAATTGGTGCAGCAACCAGAGAACATGTGAGTATATGTATAAGTGCTTTGGGCTTATTCCTAATTACTGTTTGTTTAATGAATCTACTGCATAACCTTTGGAGCAGTGCCAAGTCTCCTTTGAATGAAGTTAAATACTAAAGCTGAAAATTACTTGGTCTCTGTTTCAGCTATTCCCCACCAAGGCTGCTTCTCTTGACCTTTTCTCCCTGGTTCATTCTTCCCACACATAATTTCTGTCAACAACCTGGAAATACCAACTTTTTTTAAAAATTATTCCTCTGAAAGTAATTGCTCAAAATTCATATACTTACATCAGCAAGAAATAAGAAAGAGTGCATCCTGTGATTGTGATTGCCACATGAAGGGTAGAGAKGCAAGGTACAAGTCCCTGCTGCTCTTTGAAGCGTACTGCAGGTCCATGAGACAGCTTGGGTAACATCTGAAGGGAGCAGCGTAGGCTGGAAAATGGGATCTGTGGAGCACCAAAGGGCTGATGAAGCTGCTATCTGCTGTAGCCCGAGGGTAATTATCCAGCTCCCATTTTCATTTTGCTCCGTGGGTTTGGTGCTTCAGCCAGTGTTTTGCTCAGCACAGCAGTGCATGTGTAGGCACGACTTTGCTAATGCCTGTATGAAGGAGCAGGGTTTAGAGTGGAGAGGTTCCAGGCTCCTCTAATTGTATCAATTCTATTTGTGCTGCTCTAACTCGGCTCTAAATATCAAAATTCCATGAAAGCATGCTATTAGCAAGCTGTAAGTCATCCTCTCAGTGTCACCAGTGGCACTGCCAGGGGTGCAGGAGGGCTGGGGAGCCAGGAGAGGGGCTGGCAGGGCGGGACTGAGGGAACAGCCGGGACTGAGGGAACAGCCAGAACTGAGGCTATCAGAGGAGCTTAGGGTGCCGAGACAGCTCTGAGGGCAAACTCTGTSCCAGTGACAGGGACCAGGGTCAGACAGAGCCCAGGGACTGCCAGGCTGCCCATGGTGGTGAAGTCGGGCCCAGCTCCAGCTGGGCTCAGCCTGTGGTTCAGGGTCYGGATCACAGGTCCATGGCCCTGCACAGGGACAATCCCTCCTGGGGTGTGACTGGAGCTGTGTCCTGAGCTGAGATGGGTCTGAGGGCAGGATTGATGGGGAAGGGCGGCCAGTGAGGCTGGGCAGASCCAGCGGGGCTGCTCCTGCCCTCAGTGCCCTGCCTGGAGCTCCCTCCAAGACTGATATGTCCTCTCACCCAAAAGAGAAGTGGGCTCTGATGGGATTTCCTGAAGAAGGATTTAGTTGCTGTGGGGTGTAGGGAGCATTTCAGGGGACACAGAGCAGGGCCATGGAAATGAGAAAGGGACAGGGATTGCTGGAGCCGGGTAGGAGACTCAGGCACACCCTGAGTAGGGTGGGGGCCAAAGCAGAGATTCTCAAGTGGTGCCTGAAGAGCATCAAAGTTCCCCTYGTGAGGGCTTCACTCAGCTCAGGGTTTGGGCAGGACCGGTGCTGGTTTTGGCTGGGGTAGAGTTGATTTTTTCACAGTGGTGATTAAAGGGCTGTGTTTTGGATTTGTGCTGAACACAGGGCTGATAATATAGAAATGTTATTGTTATTGCTAAGCAGGGCCTATACAAAGCCAAGGCCTTTTCTGCTTTTTGTACTGCCAGCCTGGCAGGGAYGTTGGGGGTGCCYGGGAAGYTSGGAGGAGACACAGCCRGGACAGGTGACCAAACTGACCAAAGGGATATTCCAGATCATATGGTGTCATGCTCAGCATATGAARTGGAGGAAAGAAGGAGAAAAGGGAAGTTTTGGAGTGATGGCATTTGTCTTCCCAAGTAAYYATKATGTGTGACAGGACSCYGCTCTCATGGAGATGGCTCCCTAYMCACAGGAAGCAGTGAATTCATTTCCTTGTTTTACTTTGTTTGTGTWYGTGGTTTTTGCTTTCCCTATTAAACTCTCTTTATCTCAAACCATGARWTTTCCAGCTTTTTCCCTTCCAATTCCATCCTCCCAGCCAGGCTTGTCTTCAGGAGCTGGGGGTCAATGTGGTGGCCCCAGCCTGAAGCACTGGGCASCTCCCTGGGGACAGGGATGAGCAGAGGCCAGGCAGTGAGGAGAAACCATGGTCAGACATGGCCCAGCCAGGATGGGGTGTTGGTCCATGGCTGGACACGTCCACAGCTGTAGAACAGCTGGAGGCAGGTATAGCTGCCATGCAATCCAGGCAGAAACTAAGGCCSGTGGGCAGAGGGTGTGAGCTCCAGATGAGACTGGTCATAGGGAGGTCTGTCTGCACTCAGTGTTCTGTCTGACCTTAGAAGGAATTTGTCTGGTATATTTGCAGCTATTTTAAAAGGTTGAAACCTGTCCTTTCCCTCATTGCTAGCATTACTAGTAAGTTATTGCCATCAGCTATATTTAAACACTTTTTGCATGAAATATTTTAATGAGCCTGAAGACCAGAAAAAACTCCCAGATAGATCATAAATAGCAAGGTGTCAGCAGACAGGCTAGTACTTTTTAGAATACCAGCCTTACTTTGCCAGATTAAAGTAAATTGATTTTTACTGAACCCACCTTTTTGCCAAGTATTGACACCAAAGCTGCAGAGCCAAACAATGTGAATTAACAAATTCTCGGTTCTCTGCAGCAACTGTAAACAACAGTGATAACATTAGTATAATTTCTTTGCTGCAAGTTTCCCATACCAAGCCCTGCTATAAACATATTTAATTGTACTTCTCACTCTCAGCTGTTGTCTACCAGTAAATAGGACATTTTATTTGCAGAACAGGATGTTTTATGATGGGTTTGAATTACCCATTATAGCCTTGCTTTAAAAATTAAAGCTCAGTCCTGAATTCTGGCTTTACTTGATGTTTTATATRACCTTTCTCTTCTTTTAACCATAACATTTGAGAATCACATAAACATTTAATGTATTTATCCACAGAATTCCCATCTGAATAAGGGGAATACAATTATCTGTACTAGAAACATGAGAAATTAATATGAGGCCTGAACTGACTGAACAACTCAGTCAAGCTCCAGACAGGAAATCTGTAGCTAGAAATTGAATCCTGACTCTTATCCAAGTGTATCTCAGCTACAAGACCATCTCTCATCTGGCTGGACTGGTCTCCAGGAGGAAGAATGATTTCCTACAGCATGATCACTGCTATTTTCAYTTTAGCTATCTCAAAATGGGAATAACACAGGCACGCACATACCAAAGCTGTGCATCCCAAGCATGCTGAATCCTGTCCCCAGAGTAGCCCAAGCCTGTGGACACAGGTGACCAGAAGGGTGTGAGTAGGTGCCTAAAGGAGCCCAAATGCTGAAAAGATTTTGAGGCAGTCTATGAGGCAATTATCTGGCAGAGCTGCGCAATCAGTTTGTGCAAGCATTGCATAACAGTCTCACTACAAACTCAGCCTGCTTTCATGCACATTAAGCCCATGTCCTTGGCCTGGAATGGAGCAGCCATTTTCACTTGGCATTTTCGCTTCACTTTCGCTTATGAGATTCAACATCTGGTTAAGTGGCAGTAATTTCCAAACTCAATCCAATATAACTATGCCCTTTGGCACACATTGATTTTTATTCAGTGTACCTCAGTTCATTGTGTAAGGTGTAGTGTTMTTGACATTATAAGTTGATTTTTAATACCAACAACATCCTTGAAGTTCCTCCAAATTCTCATGTGACCTCTCATTTAAACTTAAATCATTTGGATTTATGGAGAGACATAMAGGAGAGGCATGTACAAATGCTTTTAGTATGAGTTGCCAGCAGCTCCTATGTTAATTTGGGAGTCTCCGGGTCTTAACTTTCCGTTTTTTCCCTTACAGTGCCACAACAGAGTGATATTTAAACATCTTCTACAAGCCAAGCCTTGAGTYATCTCCAAGTTGACAGCTGCAGACTGGGAAGTGTGAATGAAAGCTTGTCTGTGCTGCGGATGGCCAAAAAGTTCCGGAGAAAGGCTCTGCAAAATGCAGCAGCAATGAGAAAATCTTTCCCCATCCTTCAAGGCAGTCTGATTAGTTTCTTCAGCTGTCATGCTTCTGATTTCTGAGCATAAGCTTGCATGCACTGTCATAATTTTCCTTGTTTCATGTCATGCACCAAAAGACTTTGAATGTCTTGGTGTGGCACAGTCATGTCTAGTATGGATTTGGGGGCCTCTTCAGTTAGTCCTGCACTTGATAATATTTGATCATATCCAAGGACCTGAAAGGTCTGAAAACAGGTTTGTTACATAAAAAAGTTCCGGTAGCAATTGACTATGGTGACTGCTAAAAGGCTGTCATAGCATACACTTGTGTTGTTACCCCACAAGCCCATATTCTTGTGGGCTACAAAGAGTAGTTAGAAGGGTGGTTTAAACTTCAAGCAGGTGAATGTGAACCGTTTGTGGTTTTAATAAAGGCACTTGAAACCTGGGTTGTGTTCCATATTCAGGCACTTCACAGGTGCCAGTCACTATGGTGACAAACTCACCAACTCAGGCTCATTAGAAGACATGATTTTGATGGCTATTCAGATAGATGTTTGTCTTAAAAATTCAGCAGTTCTTTCTTTTCTGGCCCTTCATCTACCATAATCAGATAACTAATATTCTTTGCGATATTGAGGTAAGGCAAATTTTGCAACATACCATATCAGAAATAGTACGGATTACAAGAGCTTGTCTAAGAAGGTAGAATGTTGAAGCTGATATTTGACCAAAGTGGTAAGAAATTCCATTGCTATCTCAAAGTTATTGAATGGCCCTTGGAAAGTGGAGAAATGATACAAGGATGCATCTGGAAGAGGAATGACAGAAGAAAACTCTTCAAGTCCAAACGGTGAGGCAGAATGAGTGTAGCAGTCAGCAGGGCAAATATCAGACTGAGAAATGCTACGGGTATGCCCAGCTGGTAAGGAACTGACTTCTAATGCTGCCTGTACAGCTCTAAGTCATCAGCTGGGGAGTGTGAGGCACTGAGAGCTCCTGGGACAGCTTAGTCATCAGGAAGTAAGACCAAGAACACCCCKGTGTCTCAGTAGGCCTATGGGTCCCTTTCACTTCTTCTCAAAATTATCTAGCAATGTCCCATGTTTTGTCTAAAATAATGCTCTGAATATGGCCTGCAGTCATATTAGTCATCTTAGCAGCTTGAACAGTGTTAATATTCTGCAAAATTCCTTGAGTACCTCTTGTTTAACTCTATATATTAAAATCTTCAAATATTTGTATTTTTGCATGAAAGCTCCTAGGAGTCTCACACTTACAAATTTTAAAATGTATTTTTACTTTTACTCACACTGAATTGTGCTGTATAAAGTCTGCTTTTTACATCTTTCTGATCTTTTGAGCACCATTAACCTTCTTAGTTTTTAAGATACAAGCTTCAAGTTCAACTTGAATAGCAGTTCATTGTGCTGGTAGTTAATTGTGCTGATAAAGGGAAACAGTGAGGTTGTAGTTAATTCCTATAACTAAAAACTAGGAGCTCTTCCAAAGCTAGAGACTGGTCTGCTCATGCATGCTATGTTTATCCATACACCAACCTCCTCTGTAATTTATGAAGAGAAGTAAATGATTCCCATTCTGAATTCCTTYCCTGGCTAGGTATTCCTGTCCTGGATATAAACTGATATTGCTAGTCAAGCCCTGAGGCCAATGGTTKATTTCACATCCTCTCTAGCTACACTTGCTAAAATGTCCTGCAGAATCCACCTTATCTGCAGTGTTACATAAAGTGGTTTCCAGCAAAAGGAACTTAACTTGCTAAGTGTAGGCAGAACTGTTAAGTGAATTTGCAGCTTAATCTGTTTCCTTGTACTTCAGAGGACTGCAGGAACACTCAAGAACCTTTAACTTACAAAAGTATGCACATGGTAAAAAGTGGCTGACAACCTGCARCTGGGACATACCATTAATGAAAAGATAACATTTGGACTATCTGAACTCGGAGACTTTAGAATAAAAGCCAAGTAGAACTGAGATGGAATTTATTAAGAGGAGCATGTGACACAGCTCTCAGGTGTTAGTAACAAGAAGGCTGCTACTGCCTCTGAGCTCACCAAGCTGAGAGAAGACCCACAGTGTTGGCTATTCAGTGTCCATTTAATGCAGTCTCAGAAAAGGATGAAGTTTGACCATTCCAAGCTTCTACCAGGATCTAAACTGAAACAGCACACTGGTCATCTCTCTTCAAGGATGATGGACTACACTGTGTATTAAGAACCTTTCCAATGAACAGTGATATGTTTACTTTTGGTGTACTTACAAAACAGGCAGACTTTTTTTTGTGCAATCTTGTTGTGTTGGGTTAAATGTCAGGAAAAGAGAGTAACTTTTTGTGCTACAAAAAAAATTAGTCTGAACATCAGTTATCAGTATAAGAAAAATTAGTATAATTATATTCACAAATTATTTTTTATACAAAGTATGCTTTTGAAAGAGGTGATCAGTTTGGTTTAAGAAAGATTCAATAGTCCTCTTACACAGGMCCCCAATGAAAAGCACACTGATTATTAAATTCTTAGATTTATCTGAAATTGTACTAATTTCCATTATTTTCCAGTTTCCTCACTTTAAAATTTAATTTTAAAAAAACTATGCATTTTTCTCATGTTCAAATATGTATTGAGTATCCTATGTCTGAATATTAACCTTCTCACAACTGAATTCCTGAAGAGGAATTTTATAAATTACTGCAGAAGTTACRAAGATAAGGAGTTGAAAGCTGAATTCTGCTACAAATTATGAATTCCATTCCTAAAAATACTGTGCTCTCTAGGTTTTWCTGCTCCATGCTGCAAAATTAGTCCATATGTTTGTGGGATCTGGTTTTAAATGGTGACAGACAGCTGATTACTAATAGTACCTGRTAACCTCTGTTTACAGCTCTCTTTTATTTATATAAAGATAGTCATTCATGTAGGRTTGGGGAATTAAAAAAATTGCTGCTACAGAGACAATACGCAGCAATGTTACAATAAAATATTTTTTTCTTCCTGATTGTTCATCTGTGAAGATCATGGCAAGTTTGAGTTTGTTTTTCCTTGCCAGATCTTACCCTCCAWGACACTTTGCTTTCCAACTCTTTTTTAATACTAACTGTAACAAACCACACCAAAATTAAATAAGCATCATCCCCTCCAGAAGGTTTTTTAAAAAAAGCTTTATTAAACATACACTCTTTAGAAATGGCCACTGGTAACTGAAACAACAAGTAGAAAAGCAGCTCACTAACAACTTAAAACTGTGTTAACATCTGCATAGGACATCAGGAATAATCAGCTRTCCTGTACGACTAAAGGCAGTTCTGGTCTGCAAGTACCTATTCCTTTTGAACTTTTATTCGTCATATGAATAAAGCAGATATCTTTTGAAATATGTAAAACCCTCACCACATTAGAGAAACTAAGTAGCTTAGGTGCRTTTCCACATTAATATTTAACGTTGGTTTATAGCATTAGACTGCCATCTCCATTTTAATAGGTGGATGAGGATTATAACCTTCAATCTGAAAATCTTCTGCCTTAAAGTCACTGATGTCTTTAATGTCACGAAGAATTCTGAGTCTAGGGAAAGGTCTTGGCTCCCTCTGAAGCTGAAATAAAAGCAAGCTTTTTATAAAGCTATATAAAGCTAATACTTGAAAGCAGAGACTTTGTATTCTCAGTCTCAAATCAGATTACCCTATGTAGACTTTCCCTTCCCACCAAGAAGATACATACTAAGAAAAAATCAGATTACACTATGTAGGCTTTCCTACAAAAAGATATATACTAAGAAAAAAAAAAAATCTAATACAGTTAGGTAGAACTTACCTTATTATTTTCATAGAGAACAGTAGCATAAATTTCAAGTGAATTCCCTGATCATCCAAATGAATTGCAAGCACTTTCAGGTGGCAAAGCAATCCTGTCGGTTACAGATTATAGTCCTTCCAGAGGAAACTAGAAAAATCTGACCCAAAAGTGCATCAAATGTGCTACAGTTTCTCACAGGACCCTTCAGGTCTGAATCAATAACTTTTTCTCTGGATGGTTTTGAGTCGTATTAATAGTGAAGTCATTCAGTCTGAGCTTAGTCTAATCAAATCAAATTTTGATTTTATTCTACTGCAACAAATTACTTCCTGAAGAAAATTTAGCCTTTCTCAGACAAATAGTGACACTGTTTAACTCTGTGAATTGCTAAATTATCCTTTTTTTATATAGTACAAACGCATTTTATTTTGTTCTATCTGGATTGGGTGAAATTATTTTCAAAGCCAATTTTATTTTCAGATTCTGGACTTATAACTTGGTTCTAGTAGTACAGATGTACATTTCAATCATGCTTGTACTTTATTTCTGTTTGCAACCTGGATTGAACAGATGTTAAGAAAATACAGGATAGAAATGAGAAAAAAGCCACACAAATTAATATCTGCAAAAGGATATTTACAATATCAAGATAATGTTGCATTGAATAAGCACTRTGGAAGATAGAAGAATACAGAATAAGTACTTACTTGAATTTTTAGAGGCTCCACATGGTTCAGATATACGTGAGCATCCCCTAAGGTGTGTATGAACTCTCCAGGCTGAAAGAATGCAGAATACAGGTGGTTTTCAAACAGTCAAGTTCCAATAAAGCAAAACATTGAAAGCATGTCCCACAATGCTTGCAGTATTGATTCTCAGCATCTGCCTAGTGTGGAATTGCATCCTTGGACTTGACCCTTTCAGTATCCTTGAAAGCTTTGAAGGACATAAGCTTCTCTGACTAATGCATAATTAATGGAAAATATAATGAAATTTCCACTAGCTTAGAAAAAAAATTATCTTTGAAATCCTGCTATGACAGTAGCTTTGGTAAAAGAGTGAAGCAAGAGTGAGCTGCTCACCAAGACAGAAACAGATGCAGCAGTGACATCCAGCTTTTCCACTCTACTTTTATTAAGTACAACTGGCCAAGTTGGCTTCAGAGCAGTTGCCTCTGTCACTGCTAAAGAGCAGTAGGGATGTCAGTCACAGGCAAGCATCCAGCTTGCAAGTTGTGTGACTTAGCAGCTCTGAGCAATCTAATTTAACTTGGGGAAGTTTTATCGGCTCTTTTACCAGCCTCTGACCAATGTAGATCAGCACTCAGATATGAAACACTGAAAACCACCAAAGCCATGAGAGGGCTTGACTCAGAAGCAACAGTTGGATGTTTTCACTTTTTCAGTACCTTGGACTCATTCCTGCATTTGCTGTGAAGTCTGATTCTTCCCTATTTCCCTGTTTTAAGCAGCTCCCCTTCATGTTGCTGGTAGCAGGAAGATTAAGGCACAGAAGGCCTTTCTAGTATGATTTTTTACATGCCCTAAAGAAAAGGGCTTTTCCCTTGTACAAGATTGTCATGCATTTAAATTTCTCTGTTAAATTACAAAATATAGCTCTGAAGTCAGGGCAAGAGCTATTTGAGCACATATGACCACTCTACATCATCATCTACAGTAGGAAATCAAAGAAATACTCATCTGAAATTATAGCTGGAAGTTAGGTGGACAGATCATCCAAATTAGAACCTTGGCAGCAACTGCTGAGCTACTGTTCACTTCCAATAAACACATGCTATGAAATCTAATCAGTTGTATGTCACTATCCCATAAAGACAAGCACTCAGCTCAGATTTCTAAGAAGACAGTAAACAGGTCAGTTTTGATACAGTCAGAACCTGGAGGATCCTCTGTTTCACATGAATTTAAAAATTCTTACATGACAGATTCTAACTGCCTATTTGAACCAGAGGCAATTCACATGAAATGAGGGCAATTCACATGAAATGAGGGCAATTCACAGGGTCCTTTTTTTACACATATTTCAGCAAGATTTCTAACATTGTGTTCATTCCAGTTTTCCTTGGACATGACATGAAGAGTCTTATCTTTATCCCTTACTTCTCAGACAAAAATAAATAAAATTATTAAATAGCCTACCTTCAGCCCTGTGACATGGGCAATCATGTACGTGAGCAGAGAATAGCTGGCAATATTGAAAGGCACTCCTAGTCCCATGTCTCCAGACCTCTGATAGAGTTGGCAAGACAATTCACCATTTAGAACATAGAACTGGCAAAGGGCATGGCACGGAGGCAAAGCCATCAGGGAAATATCTAGGAATTGCAGCACATAAGGTGGGGAGGGAGAAAACAGTAACAGCATTAGTGTGTTATGAATGTAGAAAATGCAAAACCTAAACAAGCATGTAACGAGACACAGTAGAGAGCCAAATGCACGGTCATTTTGTTGCTTTTTCTCTTGTTTATAAGCACCTGCTGCCAAAGCAATTAAGTCCAGGTCATGACAAGCTGTCTCCTGGGTTRTATGACCAGAAAGTCATAAACAGATATTCCACAGAACAGATTTGTGCCATAATGCTGCACAGCAGTTTATTTCTACTCACCTTGGTGAGACAGTTGATTTCCCTAAAGGAAGACATTAAGAGTAAAATTAAGCATATACCCTAAAGCAAATTCCAACTGCTTCATCTTACTCTCTCTCCATTGCAAAGTGCTTGTTGAGATATAAAAGTAACAATCAATTTTAAAAAACCCACAAAATCAGAAGATCTTCTGAGTGTTTTTCTACACTTAAAAAGTGCAGACAGTAAAATTACAGCCTGGCAAGGAAAATTTTCACCAGATATCTTCTGAGAATGTTTAACCTTGAAAATAACAACAATAGCATGTGGCATCCATCCCCTTTCAGACACCAGTGGAAAATGCTGTGTGATTTTTTGGAGCACACATCTATTAGTGGTGAAGTTAAACATTGTCTTGCAGTAGCTCTTGTTTAGAAGTTCCCCTACAGAGTGAATGGATACCTGTGTATAAACAGACCCTATCATTCATATGGTATAGGTTCATCATATGAACTTATGTTCAAGGAGAAGATTACGATGCAAATAATACTTTTGTTCTCTAGTTTTAAGCCTTTTAAGTTTACAACAGATTACATGGCTAAAAGACACACRCATCGCTTTAATATACTCTTCTTTGGTTTGTTTGTTTAACCTTTTTAAAATAAGAGTTACTGTCTGAAAAGACTGCATGTCAAGAACACTGATAGCCAGGCATATTCCTCATGTTAACCTGGAAAGAAAAAAATCTGAAGAAACCATTCATTATTTTTGAGATCTGAACATGAGAATTAAGTAGAAAGAGAATCAAGATTACAAACACTGGCCATTTTTCTTGCACTCCTGTAGTTTTATAAAGAATAAACAAGGACACCAAGTGGATCTGAATGTCGACACAGGAATAGAACATAACTTAGCATACAGCAATACAATGTGCCACTGCATTCATTTTACATCAGCTGTTCAATACCTTTAGGATTCCAAGCACACATAATAATTCTTCTGTCATCTGGATTGGTTTTGATCGTTTCAATCACTTTTTGCAACTGATCAACTCCTTGGTTGGAGTAATCTGAAGAAATATAACAAATAAGGTCCAAATGAGATAGATTCAAGTCATGGTACTTTTTTACTTCCCAGCCCATGTCCCACTGAAAAGTGATACCCAAATGACAACCTCTGAAGGTAATACTGCAACYTTAAAAGTGATGAATTAGTTGGCACCCTCTAAATATAGGTTGTTCTTCGTCTTTCTTAGGATGCTCTAAAGCCTGTGAAATTACTCTGATGGTACTTTTATTTGTCTCCTCAGTAATTCTGTGTGCTTTGAGTACCTTTAGCACCCACCAAAATAGGGCCATTCCTGTTTAGAACACCTTATTTCATTCTCAACAACCTGACATTTTTAAAGACSAGCGAAAAAGTCTGCATAATCACTAAATCCCAAGAAGCAAAAGTTACAATACAAAAAAACTAGCTGGAGAAAGCATGATGCTGTATCACTCATGATAACTTTTACATAAATAAGAGCTGTACTGGAATAGGCTAGATATTACCTAGTCATTCATGGTATTTAAACTGATTTGCTCATTGCATTTTGGATTAAAATGCCTTTCCAGATGTTCAAATTGCATGCTACAGTGGTCTTCCTTATTAAAAAATAAAATAAAATGCCCAGACCAGTGAACAGGGTGCCAGTATTCTTTACACACTCAAAAGGAGAACGTTTTTGACAAACGAATAAATGCATGCATCCAGCACTCACAAAATCATGTATGAAAACTAAATTTCCATAGCATTTAGTTCCAGAAGGGAACTTTAATCATGTGTAGCATGGGATATTACATTTCACCCAACAACACTCACAGGCTGAATTTTAGGCTCAATACCAGGTATATAAGAAATCTGCTGAAATTAACTGACCATTAGAATGGATTTCAGAATAAAAAAGTCATTAGTTGTTAATCATTGTCCTGACTCATGCCAGTGAATCAGCATGGCTGTTTGCTACTTTTTCTAATAACTCTTATTGCAACAACACCAAATTTTGATTACAGGTAGACYCAAGCTGGCAAACAAGGTAGTAATACACAATCAGCATCTCAGGGAACTCTTCTGCCAGCAATACTATGCCAGAAGCCTTGTCAAATGGTTATGTTATTTCCTGAAGCTAATTACCTATCTATTAGTAATGCAACCTAAGGAAACCTATTTGCAAGGAAACCTATGGGAATTTACCTTGTTCTTTTTTTCCATACTATGTTATGCCTCAGACCTTTTAAGTTGAGAAAGTCGGTAAGTTTTCATGTATGTCAACTCACAATTTGCATCATTTGTGTTACCATAAATCTGTATTCTGTTAGCAATCAACATATCAATACCAAGTCTAATATCTGCAATTAATGTAAACTTCAATTTGAGACTGTATTGAAAACTAACAAAACCTCCCCCCGCCCCAAAACCAAACAAGAAACCCCACCATAACTAATCATGTTGTTAAAAAATGACACCACATAGTGACAATCTGGGTTTTGACCCCTTTTTCTTAATGGTAGTCCTCTACAMATTTTCTACATCCTCTCCTTTAAGGGACTTAGAAAAGAGCAATCAGCACATTTGACAGTCAGTTTACTGRACCAGTTCCACTGAAAATACCAACAGGTACTGCATCACATCACAACTTGTCACAGCTGTTTTGTCCACAGCACATCAGCTATGGAAACATCCTTCTTTGTTTCAGATGCAGAATGGAAAAATTTTTTTTTCACTGCCTCCAGTGAATGTAGTGCACTTATGTCAGTTCTTTCCAGTAGAACAATTTCATGGACCCTGCACTGGTACACAGAGATGGCAGCCTGTGTTATCAAATAATCACTGTTATCAAATAGAGCTAGCTCAGGTTTCTGGACTGCAACACACATCCTTCCTGCTATCAGCAACCACATATGCTCTAGGTAAAAGAGTAACAGTGTGTGCCTTACRACTCATCTGTTCTACAAATACCAAACTATAATATACAAAGTTATATCTTTCAGGATAATTAAGATTGAGTAAGACAAAAAAAAAAGTTAATTAATGCTCTTAAACACTGTTTATTCTGTTTATCAGTTTGCTGTGAATGGTTCGTTAAGAACAGTCCATTCCACAGAGACTTCTGGAAGTGATGTGTCACTGACCAATCAAGATTGGATTTGTAAGCGATTACCTGTGTGCATATCTTTGTATTCTGCTCCAAAATGCCTCCACTGGAAACCATACACTGGTCCTAAATCACCTTCCTCTCTGGTGCTGAAACCCTGCTTATCCAGGAACTCACGTGACCCATTAGCATCCCAAATCTTCACACCTCTTGCAGAGAGCTCTTTGGCATTTGTAGAACCCTACAAAACACAGTGAGATGTGTGCCTCCAAATTCCAGCACAGAGAATCCACTTATAAAAGATGAACAGTGTAATCAATGTACTGGATGAGCTTTTTGACACAGACAGAACAAAACATAGGATGGAGTTTGAAGTGCCATGCTGTTGTTGTTTAACTCCGATTCTCACACTTTGTGAATGCTCAAACAGTACAGCCTCAAGGTCAACTGTGGAATGYCATTTCCTAGGCACATTTGCAGAGAACAAGATGTTACTTTAGAGATTAATRAAAGTAGACTAATAAAAAATACATGGCCCGGGCACTATCTTSACCAAGCCACCTATAATGTGCTTAAGGTCTTAAAAATCCTTTTGTTAAAATAACAAGAAAGAGAAAATGACCCAGAGAAATGTCACTGAATCCTSTAGCATGTCCAAATCAGCACACTCAAAAATCCAACACAGAAATAATGCTGTTTTGGGAAGTATCTAGTCTTTTACATTTGAAAAAAACAAAAAAAAACCCAAAAAACAAAAGCTTTTAAAAATGGATGTGTATTTCAGTCCTACGTTCAAGCAAATGGTTATGTAGATTTTCCTATACCTGTACAATGTCATAGCACACAGAGAAACACTTACATTGTAAGGTATTATCTATAGTTGAGTTTTATTGCACTAGCTACAGCTATTAGCTCTATTAGATCTCATTTTTTGCTACTAAAAAGCCTAGTATTTACATCAGTCTTATTTTGCCTGTGGTTCCTGGTTCCACACTGCTTGTTTCTGTTCAAATCAAGCTATCTCAATATTAAAAAGTAGATCACTCAATAGTCTGCTATTTCATATTATTCTATCAGATTAAAACACTGAGAAAAGAGACTGTAGTAGACTTTAGAACAGAGGAGTATATTCAAATCAGCAGAAGTCCTCAATATTTCAGACTATCATCTCCCTTAAAAATAAGAAAATAAACTGTTCTGATTGCAGTSGTAGCAACAGTCTGCTCTAAAATGCAGAATGTCTTGAAGACAATGGCCTTCCACGTCTGGTCACACTATTAGGTGGCTGCACTTCTGTCATAGGAACAGCAGCATATGCAGTTACCCCAAATGCCTTAATCCACTCCCCACCGATTCGTTGTTTATGCCACGAATAAACATCCAGAGATATTTAAAAACGAACCTTGATGAACCACAGCAGCTCCTCCAGCACTCCCTTCCAGAACACTCTCTTCGTTGTGAGCAGTGGAAACTGATCTGGAAAAGAGTGTCGGAGTGTCAGAGGGGACCAGCCATTTGCCAGGATGAACAGACTTGGGCTTTTCCCCACAGAGACGGCAATGCCATCATCTGACATTGTGAGGGTGGGATATGATGTAGGGAGCTGGGAGAGGATGAGYAATTTCCATGTTCGGATCCCTCAGGCGGGAGCGGGACAGCTCCGGTGGGTGACCTTCCCACATCCAGAGCGGCTCAGGGGGAAGAGGGCAGGAGCAGGGCCAGGGGGCAAGGGAAGGCCGGGGTCCCGGCGGTGCCCACCTCGGAGGCTGTAGCGCGCCTGCATGCCGAACACGGAGATGGTGCCGGTGCCGGTGCGATCGTCCCGCCGGTGGCCGTGCTGCAGGATGTGCCGCACCTGCTGCAGGTACTGCTGCTCGCCGGGCTCCGGGCGGGCGGCGGCGGCGCTCAGCATCTCCCCGTCGGCGGGCATGGCGGCGAGAGGTTCCTGCAGGCCCCGCTGGGCTCTGACTGTGCGGCTCTCCCGCTCGGCGCAGCTGCCCCGAGCCCGCCAAAGGACGGATTTCGCGCCAAAGGACGGATTTCGCGCCAAGCGGCGAGAGGGGCGGGCGGGGCGGAGCGGCACCGCTGCCTCTCCTCCGGAGCCCGCCCCTTTCCGTTCCCCTTCCCCCTCCCTTTCCCCCTCCCCTGCCGATGACATGGGGTCCGTGGCCTTGTTGCTTCTGCCGCCTCCCGCCCTGGCCTCGCATGGGGCTGTTTCCCCTGAGGGAACGCTGGCCCGAGCACCTGGCCCGAGCCAGTGCTCCAAACCATACCGACTTGTTAAGGTTGGATGTTGGGGWGAGTTTCTTCACAGAAGGGTTGATCACATATCTGGAATGGGCTGCCCAGAGAGCTAATGGAGAGCCACAGTCCCTAAAGTTGTTTAAGGAAAAACAAGATGGCATGTGTTACCCTTGGGCTAGTTGATCTAGGAGTGTTTGGTCACAGGTTGGGCTCGGTGAGCTCAGAGGTGTTTTCCAATTTGATTGCTTGTGTGATTCTGTGACTTCGTTGTTCTCTAGTGGCACAATAAGCGCTCTCCAGGGTCATCCCATGCTGGAAAGTGCTGTTGGCATTTGTCACCTTCATCCATCTCCCTGCAGCTTCAGGCATCCCATTTCGGAGCTGAGCAAGACCAAAGCCTTTGGCTGGGCCTGGCAGGCCACACTCATCTGGTGCTGAATTTCCCTAGCCAGGATATCCAGAAGGACCAAAGCCTCGGGTGCAGCTCAGTGCCAGCCTCCCTCGTGTTCCTTGGTGTGGTGTCCCTGCAATTCCATAGCCCACTTTCCACATTCATCAGTGTCACCCTAACCTGCACTTCTAAAGCCGAGATCCTTGCATGTCAGGCGATGTCATCAGCTTCCTGCTTCATATTCTTTTGGCACATWTGCTTTCTCACTAAAGGTAATACTCATCACTTGCATTTATTGGGTCTGATTGTGTYGATCTCAGCTTCTCCCATGTCTCAGTGTCATTTTGCTTCCCGACCCCTGTCTGATTGCAGCTGTTCCCAATGTGGTGTCCTCTGAAAATTTTCTAGRTATAATCTCTGCTATCAGAAGAAACTGATGTGTCTCTGAATATTTCTTTGTTACTATCTCACAGAAGTGAAGARTTTTGTAGGAATCACTTATCCCTCAGATAAAGCCCAGCTTTTTCACAAGTTTGTTTACAGGAGTTATGACTGATAATCTCATGATTAGGAGTCTGAAATACAGGTATATATGATGGAAGTTAAGGAGAACAGAGGACTGTGGATTAGAAAATACTACCTTTCTTTGCAGCAGCAGAAAAATAATATTTTCTACTAAATAAAAAACATGAAATGCCATTTTTCTTTTATAAATTCGTATACTTAACATGATGTGTAGAAGTAAAAAAATAACATAAAGTATAAATAGGCATGGGTATTTTTCTCTGCTCATATCTAATAGAGATGTTTTAGGTACACTTTGAAATTAGTATGATTTATTTTGCAGAGCTACAGTCGGAAATGGTTCATATATACCTGTATGCAAAAGATGCTTAGAAATGCTGGGCACAGTAAATTAAATCAAATCATCTCGAGCCCTGCTTCTAGCTGAGAGTATGTCAGTTCTTAACCTTTATTATAACTTACAAATACCATTGAAAGCTGATGTATATAATTTGGGAAGGAACAAACTTCTTTACTGATAAAGGCTATTAATTAATTTAAAAATAAACTCCAGAGGCAAACTACTGTTTGTAAGAGATGCCAAAGGCAGAATACGTACTCATTAGTGTATGTTCAGATAAGTCATCTAATGTACACAATAAGCATCAAAAGCAACTGGAAGAAGAAATTGAGTATTTTCATTGCAAAATAATATGCTGTATGCATATGGAAATCTGGTTGATTCAGTCTTAGCTGAATGTGCAACATCTGTAGGGATCAGTCTTGAAAAGGCTTAAGAATATGCTTGAATGTAAGTATGCAAATAGAAATTACATCTATATGCTTCTGTATGCTTACAGCTGATTATGTCCTTAAATCTTTGCATAACCAGAGCCACAGCTTATTATCAAAGATTACTTTACTGACAACATAAAGAACATTTTATTTAAGTAAGTAAATATTACAATGTATTTAATTTTGGTTTTGAGTTAAAATATTTCTACAGTCTTTGGTAGGTAGCTCATACGTCACAGTATTTACTAAGCAAAATTTTATTTTTATGCAACTATTTTAACCATAATAAATTAACAATTAGCTATGTTGAGCATAGGGTGTTTCACCTAAGGAGCATGTACTTTATTTCAGGAAGAAAGWTTTCATACTTCTTCTTTCCTAGGAGGAAAAAAAAAAAAGATTCTACATTTTTGTTTTGAATGGAGAAAAATATGTTAGAAAAATAAATATATGTAGAATGTATCAGTGTCCTGCTCTAGAAACATGACATAAAACAGACAGAAACAGATTTTCTTCTCTCTGTTCTTATAGATCTGCCCAGTTTTCATGTAGAGTTTTAACTGGTTYTTTTCCATTACATTTTCATGTACTCCAAGTCTTGTGCAAACTGAATGTAAAGTGATGGTGTGATTTTTAAATCAGCACCACTTACTTTTCTCAGGTATGAAATGGCTATGCAAGATATGTTCACAGGAAAATCAGATTAAGTTTCAGACTAAAAATCATCAGACTAAAGAAATAATTGTTGCCATCATTAGGCCCTGAAGATTAGTATCCCATAATTTRAAAGAGTACTTATCATTTATGTTTATAACTGCATATAAATTACAGAGAATTTTGAAGAAAAATTGTAGGGAAAGTGTCAGAGCATTTTATTTTATATGTTTAGAAATATAAAARTATTTGTATTTTAAATAGAATATGCACATAATTTCACCAATATTTACCTAAGCAAAGTACATGTTGAGGCTTATTGTATTATGTCTAAATTCTGCAGCCCACCTCAGCCTCTCTGGTGGGAKTGATCGCTTTCAGCAGTGCAAAAATTGTGCATCTCACCTCAACAGAAAARCCTGATTTAATACAAAATGTTGAAATCTTCCTCATCTACTTTGTTAATGTTGAATGCTTTTTCCATTCCTATTGAGACTTCTCTTTGTGTTCTTCAATTGCTCAGCTGAGGAAGTCAGCTATGATCTAAGGAGAARCTGTGTCCAAATCTAGTCCTCCTCAGAAGATTTGGGGACACTGCAGTGATTTGCCTGAAAGTCTCGTGTGTCTTGTGGCTCTGTTTCCTGGGAGAGCCAACTAAAGCTGTGCATCCCAGAGTCCCCTGGGAAGGGAAACCTAAGGAAGGTTGGTTTACAAGTTCCACMGCAGTGTGATGCCACCTAAAACAATCCCATCTTTCCTGGAAATTCYCTGTGGGGTTAGAGAATATGAAGCATTTTTCCTCCCTGCCTCTCTGCCTGGTTCTTCCTTGYTCATCCTGAAATCTCTTAAACATGGAGAGAGGCTTCTTGTGTGTCCTTTCTACAAAAATGGCCCATGAGGAGGATCTTTCTGTGCATGTTCCTATGTGTTGAACTGCAGCCTCTGTTAATAAACATTGTTATTCTGAGCAGAGTGCTGCTAATGCAGAAATGTTATGGTAAGACAGCTCTTCCAAGTCCTGGTGGGGATTTGCATTCCTTTATCATCAAAAATAATATAAGCATGCTCTCAAACACTAGTGAAAATAAAAGCCATAATGAATAGTTGTAATTCCAGTCCATCCATGATGAATGAACACAAAGACACGGTTTTCAATGCCAAGACACTGGACTGGGGTTGCGAGGCAATTCTTTTCTAAAGAAATATTTATCATCACATTACCTCATCCCAGCTGTTACTTAAAGATCGAGGGTTTCACAGTTAAATAAGTCAAATCATTTAGTATCGTGTCTGTGTTTTGCAGGCTAGAACATTGAGTGTTTGTTTGTGTTTTCCACAATGCTTGTGGTTTTCGCAGTGTATCCTTTCTTAAGAGGCAGTCTTGGATCCACCATGACTGAATCTTGCTCCAACTAAAGTTTMTTGCAATGTAAACACCTCCTGTGAAGAAGTGTGTTCTCTGTGAAAGGAGAAAGAATGAACTTACCGCTTAAAAATTCTGCTTATACAATTGCAGTGCTCTCCCAGCTATGTATTCAATGAACTCAGGACTCTTTGGGTCTAAGTTGGGAGGAACTTTAATGGTGAAAGTAGGTGAAGTCAGAATGTTCACATCTACCACAGTTTCGTCTTTACTGGAGGGATCCCCTGGTACCACCTAGAAGAGATCAGTACTTTAGCCACTAYAGACTACCATGGACTTCCAGTTTTGTTTATACCTACTGTGCACACTGTCTGTTTCATAGGGGAAAATTTAATAGGGGAATATTTTAGACTTTCCACTGAAAAGACAGTGGGTGCCTGAATTTATGTCAGACCTTACTGTAGGTGGTGGAAAGAGCTGACATGGCACTGCCAAGACCATATTAAAGAACTGCCTGTTAATATTTATACCATSCACTACATGTATAAAGACATTCTGTTGTCCTAAAGAAAACTTGTGAGCTATCCCACTAAGTTCAGTACATTTGTGTGATTGAATTTATTCATTCCTGTGTGTTTTTCTGAATCAGACTTAGRTCTGTAGCTTTATTTACCTGCAACAGGTAGCTCAGATTCAATTGGGAAAGTGTGCCTGTCTCCTGTTCCTATTTTGTGCTTTTTTTTTGCGTGGATTGTACCATCATTTTGTATAAAGTTCTTGTAGTAATAGTAGTAATAATTCACTATATATGAGTGGATTTCTCWGTTAGAAGAGAGAATAAAATTTGTCGCTTGCCCAAGAAAAAAAAATTGATTGAATTTACCTTGAATGTATCCTTGTGTGAGAGATACAATTAATCATTCTGTATTTACTGAAATACAGACCGATCCTGTCAAGCATATGCAATTTCCCTGCAATAATCTGTATAACATTTGCCTTCTTTGAACTTTGGAATGTGTAGATACAGACATAGCTAGACATTCATCAATCCAGTACAGGTGTGTTACTGGCTGGTGCAGTGCAATTTATCTGTGAAGGTAATCTGAGGCCAGTCAAAGCTGCTAGTGTCAATTTACTCTTATCAGACAGTGATTCAAGTTAGCCTGCCAGCCATCCATCAGACTAAAAGGATTTAGAGGAAAATAGTTTCTAATCTCAGGAGTTTCTGCTCATCGAYGGATTAGCAAGCATACACAAATTCAAGATGAGCAGGAACATCCTGTAAACCCAAACATTACACAAGTACAAACATCTGCAACCCCCAGGAGTGTAAGTACAGTAAAATGCAGGTTAAAGGCAGCAAAGCTCCCTTCAGRAGACAGCCCTTACCTTAACTATGTTGAAAATGTTTTCTGGTCCGATGGTCATGTTGGATAACTCAGACACCCACCCAAATCTTTCTTTCATTTTGTTCAGCAAGTAGGAAGTGTCTTCTGTGTGATGCCGAACCACCTGGAGAATCTGCTCGTACTGCTCCCCTGAGAGATTAACCAGCTTAAAGGCTTCATCAAACTTAATGTGCAGCTCAGGAACATTCGGGCAATCTGTTAGAAAARACACTGTTATGTCTTGTACTTTGTCTTTTCTGTGTAAAGATATGAAAACTGTAAAAAAGGTCTAGCAAAAAAGGTCTTGGGTTGGTCTTTAAATAATGCTAAAAAAGGAGAATAAGTTTTGCTGACTTACTTTGGTAGATTTAGTTCAGGCTCATAATGAGTAAAAGGATRCATTATCCCATTTGTTGTGTTACAGTGATTTATCAAGTAGTGTAAGGTTTATATCATATTTCATSACAATGGATCTTCTGTTAATTTCTATCAAATAGGATTATCAGGGAGCACCTTCAGGCTGATACTACAGTAATAAATCAATATATCTGTAGCAGATGGGTGTAAATAAAAAGATATTTATTGTGGTCTGGTATTCATGATACAATGAAATATTTTTAAATGTTTGCCACAGGARATATTCTGAATACATTTAGGTTTAAGCATATTCCATGGATTTTAATTAATATCTAAAYAATTCTGGAAATACAGATGTGTTRTGCTGCAGTGGGAATCCTGACAGCAGTTCTAGGTRATCAGTCTGAATGTTTTTCACATGCCCATGAATAGTGGTGACAGAACTCTGCCATCCCCTTACATACTGACATGAAGTCCCCTTTTTGTCCTTCATGTCARTTCTCTTTGCTGACAGGGCTCAATAAACAGTGATTACAGGCTCCTCAGCACTTGCTTTCCTTGCGAGGATCCGGCTGATATCTGATGTTACACCTGGTTGTCAGCAGAAGTGAGTGTCAGGAGTTGGAGCTTCTCCTCACTTTCTGCTCAGCACTGCTGGACCCAGGCAGGATCGACTGCTGCCTGACATCTTGCTCCTCTGCAGGATGGCAGCTCTAACTAAATACTAAGATATTTTGTAATAGACTGCGGGACGTCTCTTTGGAACGCCAGCGGTGTGTTAACAACTGAGCTATACTGACACTCTGTGGAGACAGTGGGGAAAGCTAATTGAAATAATCTGGCATGAGGAATGGTTATCGTGCCTGTAGCWACAGTAAAAGCTCAGTGACTGAATGTTAATTCCAAAAATATGAAAACAGCTCAGTAGAGAATTAAAACCTCGAAATCTATAAACTAGTGATCAAAGCCTTACAGAAAAAAAAAAAATATTTACCATGCAGAAGATTGTCTTGACATTTCTGGCATCTCTCATGAAACTGTGGGCATCCAGAGGAGTTCTCCCGAAGCTCCCTGCACTGAAGTCTCTGGCGCCCTGACACAATTTTTGAAAACATGCCACTTTTATCAGGATCTGGAATGAAGTCACAGTATTTTTAGACTGCCATTAAACGGAGAGTCTTTATAAGWATGCATTCATTACCTAGCCTGAGTGCTACAATATAATTTCGTGCCCTTAATCCAAAGTATTTTGCATAAATCCCCCTTTCCTACCCTTTCTTTTCTCCTCCCCTCCCCCACACAAGTAAAAGGAATAAATTATTAAAATGTAGCAGTCAGGAAAAGATGCAAGTCATGTTTTCTTTCAAGGAAATCATGCCTCTGGAGTACCTTATAAAGACATAGTAGTGTATTCCCCACTAACAACCACACAATTGCTAATACTATTACACATTATTTCTATAACATGTGAGTTCTGGTAAGATCTTTTTGACCCTTAGAACTCAAGATGTTTCATACTCACATACAGTGAGATGAGAGCACAGTACCGAACATTATTTCTGAGGTAATGTGGCTCATGTTATAGAAAAAATTAAAGAAAGTTCTGGAAGGACCACTTAACTTTKTATTTCCTGATGATCACATAATGTTTAGATCACCTAACACTCTGAGTTATGGCATGCACTCACTGTGATTTCCTTGTAGACACAGACCAGCATGTATTTGACCTATTTGCAATAGTAAAATTTGTATTCAAAAAGTTGGCCATGGTCTTTTTCCTTCCCTGAATGTTACCAGCAGTGATGTGCTCAGAATTTTTTGGTCACTGGAAAACCTGATGGCTGGTCTTTAATTGGTTGATATTTGATTGGCAATTACATTGTTTCTGTAGCCTGAAACAGGACTTGCCGCTGTCAAGCTGAATTTAACATCATTTGGCAAGGGCAGGAATAAGCCCTGACATCTCACAGAATTACCCTGATTTTTTAGAGTTGGTGACCATGTCAATAARAGATGATACAAATCATATCCTGACAAATGCTGAGATTAAATCTGTCAATCAGCCTTATGAAAACCTTCATCCTCCCTGGATACAAGTGCTCATGAGGAACTCCTGCAAAAGCTTTGAGAATTGCTGTGAAAATCAGGCTGTGTAGGACCCGTAAGTCCCCCTGCAACATTTTTATGAGATTTCTATGTGAGTGGTAGTTATCCTTGACCCATAGCCTCCAGAGCTTCCTTACAGTATCCCACACAAATATACAGGAGACTGAGGCATTGACTGTAGAGGGGTGGATGTCATTGACAGTCATTTTCTAACACTTGCCTTTGGTTTGTTCTGGCACATCTCTTCTAGAATCTCTGTATTCATCAAATACGTCGGTGATCACCTCACTGACGCCTTCAAACACCGTCTTACTGAAATCAAAAACTATCTGTAAGAAGCCAGGCATGCCCCAGCCTCTCTGTGAGCCATAATTTCTGGTGGTGACTTCAGGTAAAGCTGGCATACTGGGGGACTCACTCAAGTCCAGGTCAGACATGAAATACGTCTGAAAAGACTGGTCAAATTCTTTTTGCATATGCTTGAAAAAAATGAAACTTCTGTCAAATATTGAGCCCACATCTGATAACAGCTGGCTAAATACATCTTCCATCTTTACTAGCTGGGTATCCTCTTTCTCAGGCTTTTCATTAGACTGGATRTCTCTTCCTTGATCCTCTTGAAAAGTAAATATGAGTGGAGGTATTTTCCTCAAAAAATCTTCAACCTATGTATAGAAGAAGAAGACAGATCAGCTGCCTGACAAGTTATCAGTTTCTCATCTCTCAGGTAAGTGTCTCTGATTTTACTCTTTCAAATACTCGTGGAAATAATGCCCTCTTAATAACTGCCAACACAGCATATTCTCTGAATTAATTTAAGACACTAGACCCCAAAGAGGAAAAAGTGCATTCAATCTAAATCATTAGTTCCACATTGGATCTGGAGTAAAAAGGTTGCCAGTTGCCCTTTAATCCGTGGAGGTTTGAAGTTATTAACAGCATTTGGGTGTCTTCCAACAGAAAATTTGGACTTTATGTTGGACATATGTGAGATGCATTTCTATCTACTTATTTGTGRTGTAGGGAGCAGAAGGTGATGGTTCACACCTTGATTTGTAAAAAGYCTGCCGTTTTTCACCAATGGGCAAATCCTCACGTCCTTGTGCAAACAGAAACCAGCAAAATCAATAAAGTGGTGGCTCTGAGTCCATGGTTTTACATGTAAGAGGCCAAGTGGCAATTCTGCTATAGAGTTCCCAGTTCCTGGGTCTTGGCCACTGGTTTGTTAAGGCTCTACTTTGGCCTGAGCCAATGGAGTGTTTTTTTGAACCATGCTCCATGGCATTAGGAAACAGGTAAAGGTTAAGAAGTACCCTGCTAAAACACACACATATAGATAGGTATAGACAGATATACATATGGATGAAGACAGTTATACTTTTTTTTTTTTTTCTAAATAAAATCATTGGCTTGATCTGACCATTAGTGCACCTCAAAGAGAAGGTGAAATGTGAAACTGCACTGCAGGAACGGCCTAAGCCAGTATTGCTCTTGCTGACAGTGTGTCCTCAGCCATAGCTATCATTTTTGCCTTCTTTTCTTTTTCTTTTTTTTTTTTTTTTTTTTAATGACTAAGCTCTAACAACACATTTCACAGTTTATAAATAAACCAAATAACTTATGGAGGAAGTTATCAAGAGGGTCACAGACACTGATAATGCAGTGTATAATTTTTAACTGCAATAATTTCAGCATCCACACTCTTGAAAGTCCAAAACATATATATGAGATACCCACTGGTATCTTAAAAGTTAAAAGTATCTCCAGTAGTCTTAAATTTTGTATCTCCCACGTTTTAACCTGAATTATTTTAAGAATATGCACAAATATTAAACACATTTGCTCTAAACCCTGCCTAAAACACACCATGTTTAAATTATTGTGTTTTTCAGTACAGAGGAGGGGTGAAAGCGAGACAATCTAGATAACATTTTAGAAGCAGTAATTGCAGTTTTGCTTCTGAAGTTCCTTGTGCTTAAAGCATATGCCCAAACAAAAAAAAAAAAAAAAAGTGATTACAGTTTTGGTAAATCTTGTGGTATTAATAATGTGCCAGACAGAAAAGCCTATTTTCTTCCTAGTRGAATTAGGGTAATTTGCACCTCCTTTGCTGCAAAAGCATTGTAGAGCTTTTTTGTTACTTGAATGGTTGATTTARGATAAATATAGGAAAGAGTGATGTTGTAATAAGTAGGTGATTTTTTTTTCACAATGTAATTTTGGTAACTATATCTACACTTTTAACTTTGCTGATTTTCAGATGAACCATAAAGAATCCATGTGATATTTTTCACAAACAGTTACCAAGCATCTTAATGCAAGTCCTACTGTGACAGTAAACATCATATATCTGGAATGAATCTTTTGGAGTCCGGGGAGTAATCAGTTTCCATGGAGTCTTGCCAGAGTACAACTGAACTCATTTTGGCTCAACGTTCAGTGACCATGATCACATGTAATCTCTACCATATAACTTCATATTTCCAGACCTTCCAAATCAAATTAATTTTAGTAACCTGATATAACTGGCAGATCTGGATATCGGGAAAATAAGATGTGCTGTCTCTAGAACTCCTGGGTGAATGCAAGAGTATTCTCCACGTAGAAAGTTTCTTCCTACCTTTCTTTTAAAGGTTGACACACCATGTTTACAAGTTGTGTAATATCTCATGCAGGTACTTTCTAAACAAGATTCACATTCATCCCATAGATTTTTCAAGGATACTTGGCATTGTCTTTCCTCTTCTTCCAGTCTTGCCTTTACTTCATCCATAAGTCGCAAGGCTTGCTAAGTAAGGAAAAAGATTAAATTGAGGGCAGTTTTCAGATCAGTATTCTAAGTACAATCCCAGTGCTGATCACTTGTTTTATCTATTTATGGCTCCTTTTTTTTGCTAATCCATAACCAGTAGGGTAGGTTGTCTTCTCAGCTGCCGTCACATATGAAGGGAACTGAAAATTGAAAGCCTTTTTCTTATAGGATTTTTCTGATGTTGTTCTCTCAGGGGGCAGAGCCTACAGAAACAAATTGATCTCTACAGTCTACCAGGATTTTTTGATGTTAAGAAAAAGACTCAYKCATCRTTCTGTGWAAGAATYCAACMTCCCACATGGTCATGTGTTCAACTYGTRTCATTTTTTCTCCATATCATCTGAACAGTATTCATCTGTCCCACAAGTAGTCCTTTTCTGTAGCTTTTCTCTATCCGTAAGGGATTGATAAGTCATGAGACCAGATCCTTGCTGTACATAAGGTCTTTCTCTAATGCAGAAATATATAAAAGTACAGCATTTCTGCTGTTKGGGAGTGTACTGATCAAAAGGCTGTGATGAGAGGTTTTTTTCCTGCTCTTGTAGAAGTGAGGCACTTCTTCCTTACTGAAGGGAAACAAGATGCATTTTACAATGCTGCTTCTATTTGCTTCATCAGTTAAAGCAGATCGGAAGCAACATTTCTGGAATAAGCTTGACAAAGGAAAGAGAAGAGTTCTTCCTATTGAGGTAGATTGCACATAATCATTTTCTCTCTCCAATTGCAACACATTTTAATAGTTTTGGTTTCCTAACAGTGTTCCAAGTTATCTCTAAGTATGACAGAAATATTTTAATTGGTGGGGCTTATTCCTTTTTGTCAGCATTCCAATAGGGAGGAGACACTTGAAAGAAAACTTCTTCAGAATTTGCTTGATGGCGACAGTAACTGCAGTTTTCATAATCTATGTTTAGTTATTTCCTGATCTTTCCAATACATTTATTCAGTGTTTTATGAACTCTCACTGTGGATGCAAGTCCTGTGTAAATTAAATCATCCAGTAAGATCTAACAAGAGTGTTAATTGTGGGAGTGCACTGGTGTTCCTTAAGATGTTAGAAAGCTGTCAGGTATTTTTTGTCTTGCTAATGCAAATAGTTTAAACTAATTACCAGATATTTGACCAGGAGGGAATTTTCCTTCAACTTCAAAAAACAAATAGTTAGGATATTTCTTTAAATATCCAGTAAACCTCTGTTTCTTTAGATCATCTGAGCATGTGGCTCTGAGCCTAGGCATTGCACTAAGACATGGGAAATCTCCCTGATTTGCTGTACTTTCTTTAGAGCACTATCATTYGTGACTTTGATATTTTCCTGAAGGTCTGAAGTTTGCAAAGCAAGATAGAAAACATCTTATGGCCCCAGGAGTGTAAAGACACGGAGGCAGAGCAGCTGGACCTTCCACACAAAACATTGTTCTACAGTTGCCTGCAGTTGCCTTGGTGTGAATTCAGTGAAACAGAGGTTTTTGAGAAAGAAACAGTAAGTGCAATTTTCCTCTGCTGGTTAGAAAAAGGGAAGAAGAAGATTTTCTCTCAATCCTGTGACTGCATAAAAAGATTTATGCTGCTTGGAGTGTACACACAATGTGGTTTACCTTCTTCCCAAAATAAACATAAAAAACGTGTGGATSCATTTATGTTACCTGTTTTTCTTCACTGCTCTTCTTCAAGGTTTTCATCAGATCTATGTGCTTATCTTCATTTCTTTCCATCATAATTTTCATCTGCTTAATACCAATCAGAGCTTTCTTTACCTCTTCATCTACATACTTCTCTCCAACTTCAGATAATTCTAAAAAAAACCAAATTATRCAGTGACTTAATCAGATTTTAACACTATTGCAAATTGTCATGCACTGGTGATGAAGGRGAATGAAATAGCTCTATGTTTTCCCTACAGTGGCACAGCCAAATCTTGAGATAGTGAATGCTGAATAGCACTGAGCCAAGACAATTTCCATCAGATAAGAATCTGGCCCARAGCTTTTGTAAGGATCAGGTGTATGTAACTCAATATATGTATTCAACTGTCCCACTGCTGGTTACTGAATCCCAGAGCAGTTGAATGAGATTGGCACCTGTGAAGATCATTGAGTCCAGAGCACCCTCCACACAAAGCAGGGTCAATGACAGCAGGTTGCTCAGGACATCTCCCTACGTTTTGAATATCTCCAAGGATCACTCAACAGTTTTCTAATGACATAACCTTTATATTTATCTTTGATCTGATAATAGTCTATGACAGCTTCCGTTTACATTTTGAAAATGTAGATTGCAGGTGCTTTCAAACTGTTTTCATAAAAGTACAATTTCTAGACCTCCTGTGAAGTAATGACCACAGAGTTTTGGTGAAAACCTGGGCTGGTCCATGTGTTGCACCTTGAAGCTCTGCATGATTGCCTATCCTCTATCTGTATTTTCTTTGTGGAAATACCCTATSACTGGAACTATATAAAACAAGTAAAACCACATCAACCTGAGACTACCAAAAACATATCGATCACTTCTTCCTTTGTATGAATCTTCCTTACCCCTCACTCTTTTTTTTTGCTTATCACACAAATATTATTAAGATCGATTGAAACACAAAATTATTTAATAGCTTATCCTCTTTCTCTCCACAAAATAAAGCCATGCTTAGAGATGTGTGTATGCAGAATTGCTGCTATTTTCTAAATTAGGTAATTTTACTTTAAACCAATTTTTAATGTTTGAAAAAGCCACCTTTTCCAGTGAAGTATATAAGAGTAGAGGAAGTATTTTCAAGCATTATTTCAACAAAATATTTCAAAATCTGTTGAATTTAATTTGGGGTTGGGTTTATATTCTGATGATCTATAAAGGAACCAAATAACCTATAAAAATCCTGTAAATACTTTTTTTTTTTTTTTTTTTTTTTTTTTTTTTTTTTTTTTTTTTTTTTTTTTTTTTTTTTTTTTTTTTTTTTTTTTTTTTTTCAGGTGGTGCTTATCTGTTAATCCCTTTACTTTCTCATCCTGCTTGTTCTTATCTTCCTATTGTGTGTGTGTGTGTGCATGCAGTCAGCTTTATTATGGCTTCTAAACTCCACACATGAAAGTGGAACTTCTTGATGCCAGTGAGTTTAGAAGTCAAAATGCACAACCCAGCTGGAGACCTGGGCCCAGGGGCTTCCAGCACACCCTGGCAGGAAAAGCATACGTACGCTTCAGGTTGTCCCGGAGATACATTTCCTCCTGCTTCGTTGGTGCACACTGATGACCCTTCAGACACAGCACATGTATTACAAATATCAAAAACGACTTCATGTTCTTTCTGTTGAAGGAACAGGTCAGTGCAGTTACATGTAAGCATTGTCAGGAAGCTCAAATGCCTAGGTATACTAAGTAAAAATAAATACTAAATTTAATAGTAAAGATTTTACAAATTCCTGTTAATTTTAYCTCTAACTATGGTTTCTGAGGTTTGTAGCATGCACCTAAATGCTACTGCTGGTGAAAACACGAGTAAGAAGCTTGACCTCATTTGTAATTATCTATTTAGATTAATTAGATGAATTCCACTGAGTTTGCACAGTGGTTAACAGAATCAGGACATGTATATATAAAATCAAAATCCTTATGCTGTTCATTCTTTCCCTTTTCTACTTCGTGAAACACACTAACTACTGATCTCATATTGTCCTTAGTTCATATTGTAAATATGCTAAACACTACTGATGGTTTTAAAGAGGGAAGTTTYTGGAATGTTGTCCCCTTTCTTGTGTCCAAACATGCAATTCCTTTCATTGTCCTTCAGAATAAGATTTAATAGAAGAGACGCAACAATAGGTGTGCCAAGTAATCAGCAATTAGATCAATTTTGTAAACAAACAGAGCAGCAAATGAAAGAGATTCCTATAAAATACAAGAAAGAAATACTGTTTGCCTAATTTCCCTCCTAAGAGCAAACGTGAAAGGTTTATTTTTCAGAAATCATGCAAGTGCTTTTTATAGTTTTCGTCTGATTAAATGAACACAATATTTAAGTGCATTGTAGCTAGCCAATATAGYKTTCTTGGAGATGCAATTATCAGCCRCAAAGCATATGTAAATTAAAAGCCTGGATTTGTTTATAGCCTGGATTTACTTCTATAGTTACTTGCATATTGTACCTTTATATTTATAGCCAAAGACCAATTAAATTTGCTAAGAAACACAAACACACGGCCAAAGAAAAGTAAAAAAAGCCAAGTATATTTACCATTAATACCGAAACCCCTCTTCTGCAAAATTGCTCCCTGCGTCAGGAAGGGGCTGGGCTGTGTTCTGATCTAATTTCTGGGAGTGTCAGGGACTTTGCCATGTTCTACTTATCTGTTGAGAAGGTACTTAATCCTATTAACRGGACGTGTAGTCATTAGGCTGGAGGATTTTGCATGTATGGGACTTTATGCTCATCTCCRTGGGCAAAACCACCAGGGGGAGCGTTGGGCAGAATTGCCTACTTTAATGTAATTTGGAACTGCTGCTTTTCTCTAGTCAGTAGCCTTTTGTCATGCTAGCTCTTCCAYCGCCTTACTTTTTACTTTAGGAGACACCTGCAGCTTATGTTATTAGTGAAATTGATACCATTAGTTTGGTTAAAAATAGCTTCCAACGTTTAATCTCTTCAGCATAGTTTTAGCTTGCTATAAAAACCACTGCATTATGTAAGGGCCTTCTTTTTACACCTTCTGAAGATAYAGGAATTGGAAAAAAAATCAAGAATCCAGATGCAGGCTGGCATATGAGCAGATTCTGGAATGAGATAAGCAATTTTTGGCCTTTTGTACATCATTATACTTACTGTTGTTTTGGGGGTTTGCCCCTTAAGTGCTATTTCCTTCCTTTACTGCAGTTTCTCCATGTCTATGAAATATGTCTGGGATATGACTTGTAAGAAGTTTTGGATACTTTGAAATGAGATATTTAAATACTAACAGATGCTTGGCATAAAATATGGACAGGTATTGTTAGCAAATCATATCCCACCTTGTGATATTCAGCAATATTACTCACTTGCAATCAAAGAGGAGGAGGGGAGAGKGTCTGTAGCCTGTGTTCTGTAACAGCTACGTTAAAGAATCCTATTCTATTTTGTTTGCCTCATCATTCATAAAAGCTAATTGATTATTGATGGTTAAGATCTAGCATGATTTATGCTGCTTAGGCAAGAGATTTGCGGGATTTATTTTTAAATAAAATCAGGAAGAGTGAAGAATCTGTTAGCTCTAATGGGAACTGCAAGTTCCCAGTTTGCATTAAAAATTAAGACAGCTCCACACTTCTTTTCTGAATAAGTTGAATGGATTGGAYTATGCATTTTGTTGTAATCTACATGAATTGCTGTCTCATTGAGTTGCTGCTAGCTCCTTGACCAAGACTCATCAGTACCCAAAACAGCTCAAGTTCTCTTCTGTGGAAATACCAAGCAGGCACCCTTGCAGTCCTCACAATCCCCTGGCCAAACTGTTTTTGAAGCACCCCTGGGTCTCAGGCTGAAGTAGAAGGGGCACTTTCTCCTTCCCTCTCAACCTCATGCTTGGCTCAGGAGAGAGTGAAAATGGAAAATACATTTGCACAAAGGAAGACAATCTATTACACATTACACTTGTGAAATGTGTGCTATGTATTGTGTGAATGTATTACACACTGTGTGTGTAATGAATCCTAACAAATACTTCAATCTTCCACTKCAAGGGTTTGGCCACTCATTTTTGGCATTTGCTAATATTCATTTACAAGCAGAAGTTACTGTTGGCCTTTCTGAACCTGACTCTATATAGAGAAAACTTTACTCAATCCAGAGTAAAAAGAGTGGTTTCAACATATCACTCATAGTTCACAGGAATTTGTGAGAAAACAGGCAGCCCCAGCCCTGGGGGGAAGGAGAGCAGCACCCCTGCCCCAGGGGAAGAGGCTGAGGGATACCTCTAGCAMAGATCCCACCACTTATTTTCAGAATCATCTGCTTTCTAAATGTCTCCTTGGGAGTCTCTGGTCAAGCACACACTTGCTCCTTGTGAAGCCAGTCCTCAAGCCACTGCTGAGGCATGGAGTCCTGGTGTGTGTTGCGCTCCTGTTCTCAATTCAGTTGATTTTGAACATTGTAAAATGACTTTCATCATCTTGGATATTACTCCTCACTCTTGATTATAATCATTAGGTAATCACATGGAAACAGGCACAACCATATGTATCTCTTTCTTTTTACAAAACCACAAAATCCTAGTTGTTTACTCTTGTATTATTTCATATATATCTAATGGTTGAAAGAGGAGGTCTAAGGAACCCAAGGACAAAATTGATAGAGCTGGTATCKCTGTTAAATTTAATGTTGGGCTCAAAGTTAACCTTAGAAGTACATTTAAGAACCCAACACCCTGTCCCTGGAAAGCATCTGTTAATCGTGCTTACTCTGAAAAGCTTTTCTTCTCTCCTTTCTGTTTTGAATTTAATTAAACAAAAATGTCATCAATAATACCTGTAGGTTTCATGTAAAATATCCTATCTCTTTTCTTTTAACATTCCAAATCTGATTTGCAGTGACCTGTTCCAGAGATCTCCATTTTTTCATCTCAGCTGCCATGTTCAACAATTTGCTCTTAATATTTTGTTTTCATCTGAATTTGATGCTTTGATCAGGTATAGTAGAGCATGTTATGACATTTGCTGACATGTTCAATTTTTCCCACTCTTATACAAGCAGRTGATTCAGTGCTTATTGATGCTATTGAAATTAATGAGGTACTCTTCTAATATTGAATCATACTAGAGACAGTCTGAAGAAGCTGTTGGGAGGTTATTGCAGAAAGGGTCTTTTCTCTTCCCCAATTTCCTACCCCTGTTATTCCACTACTACTCTATGTTAATTGAAATAATATGTATATATCGGGGTGGGGGGAAAAAATAGCTTGAAAAGTAATTTCAGTTAAAAGAGATTTTTTGCAAGATACTGATAAACTAAAAAGTAAATAATTGTAACAAGATATATAGACATTGGGCTTGAACTGAACTGAACTTGAGCAATGAGAGTTGTAGCTGCTTTGTGGATTTTTCTTAGGTCCCGTTGGATGACCTCCACAAGTATGTAACATTTTTTCACCATGTACTGTGACTTCTCCCTTTTTGTTGATCCATTCCACCTGGCAGGATTAAGCATCAAGAAATATGTCAAAAAGGAATTTCCTGTGTTATACATCAGCTATAGGATTTTGTTCCAGTTAGATATTTACACAATTATTTTCTGTTTGTAAGAATTGTTTCCTGTTATGGTACACATTTCCTACACATTTCTTTCTCAGCTAGGCCAGGCATATAAAGATCAGGCTGAAAATACCTGTACATATTTATRGACTCAATGAGTCATGGTAAGCACTATTTACTGACATTAAATCTCTTGRTATTTGTATGAAATATTCCCTAGTTCTACAAAATCTTAATTAGCTTTATTTGTAAGCACACTATTAGTTCTACTGCTTTCAACTGAAATTAAATCCTAGTGGGGGTTTATGGTGTAATTACATAGGTAATCTAAAGCAAGCACAAAGCTTTGCTAAAAGTTAGTATGGATTTTAAGGTTATAGAATTGAACTTTTGTGCTGTAAAGGTTTGTTTTGGTTTGGTTTGGTTTGGTTTGATCCTTTCCAGTGCTTCAGGAGCCTCTGAGTGGCTTCTGCTTTCTCCTGTATTTCAAAGGCTCTTGGAGCCCCCCTGAAGTGTGTCTTAAGGGTTCAGTCTTTGAGATCTACCTGATTACCTGAAGTTAGGAACCAAGGCTCCTTCTTCAGTCCAGAGAGTGAGGCATGCTCTTGAGATGCTCTCAGTCATGCTGGAAAGCCTCAGACAAAGGAGCTGAGGCTGCATCAAGCTGAATAGCTGAAGTTAGTCTAAGCTACACATCCTGCAAAAATACCAGCTCAGSCCCCAGAGTAGCCCAGCTGTGTTAGCATGACAGGATCCCAAAGTTCATGAGCCCCGAAGCTCAGAGTAARGCTGACACAATTGCCCCATCTGGAGGAGGGTCAGGCAGTGCCAGCTCAGGACTCTGCAYTGTGCACTGCACAAACGTGAAACCRGCAGAAGGCAGAAATCAGCCTGCAAAACTTAGAGCATCRCATTGAGGGTTAACGYGACTTTMGYTGGAATTATTARGCTAYAGCTTTTRGGGTCAGCAAGACCAATTTCACAAGGCTTAGCATACTTTAAAATGCATGAGCCTTTTCTGATTTCCTTTTGCTTGTCTATCCATGGATACTAAGGATGACTATTCAGTGTAGAAAAAATCT